GCATTAATGATTACATACAACTAAACAAAAAAAAGAGAAAAAAAGGGACAACCCTATTATGACAATAGAAGTACAATATTGATTATAACCTACAAAAAAGATTGAATAGCTGGCAGCAGAAAACAATCAGCACATCCCCATATAAGAAAGATATGCCCTCCCCGTTTCATTGAATGTGAGATAATACATACAGTTGCAAGAAAAAGTATGTGAACCCCTTGGGATTACGTGGAGTTTTGCATGAATTGGGCATAAAATGTGCTCTGAACGTCATCTAAGTCACAACAATAGAAGAACACAGTCTGCTGAACATAATACTACACAAACATTAGATGTTGCCATGGTTTAATTGCACATAACATGTAAACATTCACAGTGCAGGGAGGAAAAAAATATGTGAACCTTTGGACTTAATAGCTGGTTGACCCTCCTTTGGTAGCAATAACCTCAACCAAACGTTTCCTGTAGTTGCAGATCAGACCTGCACAACAATCTGGAGTAATTTTGGACCACTCCTCTTCACAAAACGGTTTCAGTGTAGCAATATTCTTGGGATGTCTGGTGTGAATCTCCTCTTAAAGTCATGCCACAGCATTTCATTCGGGTAGAGGTCAGGACTCTGACTGGGCCACTCCAGAAGGCGTATTCTGTGCTGTTGCAGCCATTGTTTTGTTGAATTACTCGTATGCTTTGGGTCATTGTCCTGTTGCATCACCCATCCTCTGCGGAGCTTCAGTTGGCGGACAGATGGTCGTACGTTTTCCTGCAAAATGTCTTGATAAACTCTGGAATTCATTTTCCCATCAATGACAACAATCCGTCCAGGCCCTGAGGCAGCAAAGCAGCCCCAAACCATGATGCTCCCTCCGCCATGTTTTACAGTGGGGATGAGGTTTTGATGTTGGTGTGCTGTGCCTTTTTTTCTCCACACATAGTGTTGTGTGTTCTTCCCAAACAACTCAATCTTGGTTTCATCTGTCCACAGTATATTTTGCCAGTAGTGCTGTGGAACATCCAGGTGCTCTTTTGCAAACTTCAAACGTGCTGCAATCTTCTTTTTGACAGCAATGGCTTCCTCCGTGGTGTCCTCCCATGTACTCCATTCTTATTTAATGTTTTCCTTATTGTAGATGTGTCAACAAAAATGTTAGCATGTGCCAGAGATTTCTGTAGGTCTTTAGCTGACACTCTGGGATTCTTCTTTACCACATGCAGCATTCTGCACTGTGCTCTTGCAGTCATTTTTACAGGACGACCACACCTAGGAGAGTAGCAACAGTGCTAAACTTTCTCCATTTGTAGACAGTCTGTCTTACCGTGGACACATGAACATCTAGGCTTTTGGAGATACTTTTGTAACCCTTTCCAGCTTCATGCAAGTCAACAATTCTTGATCGTAGGTCTTCTGAGAGCTCTTTTCTGCAAGGCATGGTTCACATCAGACAGTGCTTCTTGAAACCAGTAAACCCAAAACAGGTGTGTGTTTAAGGGCAGGACAGCTGTCAGCAACACATCCAATATCATCACACTGATTGGAGTCAAGGTTGGCTCACTCCTGACTCCAATTAGCTCTGGGAGAAGTCATTAAGCTAGGGTCTCAATACTTTTTCCTCCCTGCACTGTGAATGTTTACATGTTATGTGCAATTAAACCATGGCAACATTTAATGTTTGTGTAGTATTATGTTCAGCAGACTGTGTTCTTCTATTGTTGTGACTTAGATGACGTTCAGAGCACATTTTATGCCCAATTCATGCAAAACTCCACGTAATCCCAAGGGGTTCACATACTTTTTCTTGCAACTGTATGTCTGTGTGGATGATAATGGAGATCAAGTGTACAGCCAGTGTGCAGAGCTAGTCCAAACCTTCACAATCTAAGTACACGTGTCAACAGATTGTAGCCAACGGTCCCAAATTTTATTATATTTAGCAGGGCAACCTCTATGAATATATATCATTTATTTAGAGGGAGAGTGTTATTAATGTCAGCTATCCACTCTTCCAGCATAGGAGGAAGTGCCTGCATCCAGTGACAGGCTACCAATTTCCTGGCACTAAACAGAGTTTCATGTAAGAAAGTAATCAGATATTTATCAGCATCTGAATCAGGGACAATTCACAAGCAGCAGAGTTTAGAGTCCAGAGAAATAGGGGATTCCATGCAGTCATGTAGAAACTGGATCAACTGGGCCCAATATCCACTTACCTGCAGGCAGTGCCAGAGCAAATGCACAAACTTCCTCGGGGTTATATGACATTTAGGGCAAGAGCATCTCTATCAATTCTAAACCGTGCTAGGTGTGTTGATGTAAGATATGCCCTGTGTACAATATAGAACTCGGTAAGGCGGTCAAATATTTTAGGTGAGACCTTTTTGCAGGAGTCTAGTACCTCCTCCCATCCCTCATCCTCAGTGGCCCCATATCAAAGTCCCTACGAGATTTAATAGAGTAGGCCAAATTAGAGGCCCTTGTGGTGATGAGGAGTTCATATAGTGCGGATATAATTTTTCAGGGTTTCTCCCCATATACCACATCCAATATAGACAGTGAGGAGAGAGCTGGGAAGTTAACAGTAAAGTCATTAAGCATTCTGTACCTGGAGGTAGTGGAATAACATTATATTTGGAAGGGAAAACTCTTTGTTTCAAGACCTCAAAGGTTTTAATACCCCATTTGATAGTACATGAGAAAGAAGGTATACTCCTTCAGAGATCCAAAGTCTCTGGTCAGGAATATAGTTCAGGCAATAACTTGTTTGACCAAAGAGGAGTGCTTGCATAAAAGTGTGGAGCATTTATCTTAGATATAAATAGGTCCCATATCCATTTATATTGAAAGGCCATCACTTTACTAGAGGACTGCACAAAAGATCCCTGACCACCTCTGATAATATCACAGAATGGATGTAAAACTTGTTGGAGTTTTAGGGTCAGAGACTAAAGCAGTAAATCATTTCCTACCAGTTTTATCAATATGGTGTAAATGGGAAAGTTGGGCTGCTAGATAATACAGTCCAAGGTCTGACAGGGTCATGTACCCCAAGGAGGTTAGATTCTTAAGTATACTCCAAGTCAATTGGTGTGTGCCACCACCCCAAATAAAGGGTTTTAGAATCATATCCAAAAATCTTGAAGTACCAAAGTGGGATGTAAACTGGGCAATGCCAAAGTACATGCAGAATTTTGGGCAACAGGACCATCTTTACCAATCCAATTCTACCCATGACTCCCAAGGGCAATCTAGCCCAAATTTGGGATTTGGCCTTTAAAAGGGAGAAAGGGGGTTCTACATTTAGGGCAATATAATCAGCAGGGGATCTAGACACTCGCACTCCTAGCTATTTGATGGTATTAACCTGCTCCAACAGCGAGGAGGCCTGATCAACGGAGGGGGGGAAAGAGTCTACGGAGAGAATTTGAGATTTATCCCAATTAATTTTTAAATTGGAGAAGTCTCCAAATTTTTTTTTTTCTCAGAGATATAGGGTCTGCAATAGAGACGGTCTAGAGTCTGCCAAGTAGAGTATCATATCATCAGCATGTAGCGTGACTTTTTTGTCAAGATCTTCCCTTTGCAGTCCACAGATCCCGGGTGTGGAGTGATTTTTAATGGCAACTGGTTCAGCCGCTAGGGCATACAATAAAGGCTAAAGAGGCCAACTCTGACAATTGCCTCGAGAAAGAAAAAATATCTCAGTGGTCCAACTGTTAGTCAACACTCGAGCCTGGGAATTTGAATATAAAATAGTTATCCACTGAACAAAGTTGGGGTAAAACCAAAGCTTTGGAGACAATGCCACAGGTATGTCCATGTCACTGTTGAACAATTTTGTAAATGAAACAAAAGAATTCAGGAAATAGATACAGTTCAGAGCGACTCCTTGATATTTCTCAGGGAAATCATGTATTTCTCTCGAACACGTATTGAATCAACTGAATCTAAAGCTTTGGCGGCATCCAACGAGACCACCACTCTTGTACCAACAAGAATCATGAGTAGCTTGTAGATTCATAAACAACCTTCGGGTATTGAATGCAGTGTTTTAAAGGGCATCAAGCCCGTCTGGTCTGGATGCACTAGAGATGTGATGACCTTATTAAGTCGTAATGCCAGAATCTTATCAAGGATCTTGATATAAAAATTTACAAATCCTAAAGATGTTATGACCTGTCACTCTGAACAATTTTTAAATGAAACAAGAAATCAGAAATAGATATTTCTATAGCTATATTACCTAATTTTTCTTTGGTTTGAATTCTGTGTTATAAAGAAAACTGGGGACCGGTGTGATCTTCTTAGTATTATAAGAGCCTTGATAACAAGCATCCCTGTGTAGTTGCAATCATTAATGTGTTAGTACACTTTAGACTTTGACTGTTAAGTAACGCCCTTTTTTGTTACATTTGATATTTAATTTTACTTATCTTATGCTGACTGGTAGGTGATTATAGAGCAAACTAATCTGCTCTGTAAATTGCTTTAAAAATTGATGCATTTGTACTTGCCAATGTGTTGTCTTTTATTACTGATTTATTTTACAGCTTGCTGTCTGTTGATTTTAATTTCTGACAATACTCTTTTTTTCCAGTCTCAGTACAGTGGATTTCTCTTCTTTCATGAAGGCTGGCCACTTTGCCTTGGTGAGAAGGTCCTCATTCAGCTGTCATCCCTTCCTTGGCACTTTCTGAAAAATGGGGATTTCTACTTGCAAGTGGTGCCATACTTGGAATGTTCTCCAAGACTTGTACTAAAGTGCCTTTCTCAAGATGGAAGTGGTGTCCAGGAGATTGTGGTGCCTGAATCTTCACATTCATTTCTCTTTTCTGCTGAATGGCTAAACAGTATCAATAAAGACCGTAGCGCAGTACGTCTTGAGAACTGTCTAGCAGCTGTGGAAGAAAAAGTCCTTCGTCTACCATGGTCTGAAATAATTTATCCCCGCTTCATTCACAAAGAAGGCTTCATTGTAGGAAGGAGATGCAATCCAGGGCCTTTAATGCCACCACTAGAATACAGAAGCCCTGGAGATGGAGGGATTGCCATAGGAGATTTGGTGGACCCCAAAATTGGTGCTCAATTGTCATTTTCAAATAATCAAAATGAGACTATGGGCTGGAGAGAAGGTGCTGTATCACCCATGCTGGGTTCTCTCTCTGGTTCAGTGACAGACTCAGTAGAAGGGGAGTACGTTGAACTCAGCCCTCCACATACAGAATTAGTAGGAAAAGTTGAAAGTCCCAGAGACACATGGGCATCACGAGCCAAGACTGCGCCAAGTAGAAAAGGTAAAAAAAAAGGACACCAGGCATGGATGCACCAGAAGAAGCCAGGGAAGGTAGGTTCTTTGAGCACTTTAAAGGGAAGATCCCAAGAGATATGGGAAGACAGATTTTGCACAGAAGAAGCTGAAGACCAAGCAAAGTCTGCAGTAGAGGGTCAAAATTACTGGGATGTTGAGACAACAAGTTATTCCAATGACACTGATGTGTTGGCTGAGTGGAGAAAAGGTTTGGATCTCCTTCAAAGACAAGAGAGAGACATAATTCCTGAGAGACAGATTTGGGGTTCTTCTGAGAGACAGTTATGGGATGATAAAAACTGTTCAGAGGAAAACAGGGCACCTTCTTGGGTCACTGAGAGATCTGTCAGCCAAAAAAGTTCTCAGGAAGAAGACCGCTTATCAGAAACGCTTACAGAATGTTCTTTAAACGTTGATAGCCTTAAGGAAAGAGAGGTCTTACTTTCTATAGAAGGCACTGGAGATGCTTCTGATTGCCAAAGAATTCCAACCGGAGACATTTTGCAACAACCTGTAGAAAAACAAACAGAAACACCTACAAATAATAATTCCATTTTTGCAGATAGTTGTCAAAGTGAATCCCAACTGGACTTTACAAAACAGTCACCTAAGGAAGCTAAGCAGCCACTGGACACTCTGCTGGAGGTCTGTGATTCAAGAGAATCTTCGCTGACTAGGAAAGGCAGAACATGGGCAGATGGTCAGGAAACATCAAAGATACAAAACGAAGGAGACATTGCTGCAGATACTGTTGAGGATCCATCTAATGAAACAAAAAAACACCCAGAAAAAGGAAAACATCCAGTTTGGAGTCAGGTTGCTGATTTATCCCATAAGACTGGAAGAGGTAGGAGGAAAAAGAGGAACAAGAGGGGGAGGGGACCCATAAGGGTTGAGGCAAGGAAAGCAACTCACAAGGTTGGGCAGAATAAAACTGATGCCAAGCAAGAAGGACCTGAACTTGAAACTGCATCCAAAGGTAAAGTGGAAATAAAAATAGAGATTGTTATGTGGTATATGTATAGTCTTGTTTTTAGCAATGTCATATGTAGTTTGAATGCAGGTATTTAGATCCAGCTTGTAACATTCACTGATCCCCTTGTGGAGCCTGGCTGCTGAAGGATACAAAGGAATGCCAAAGCCATGTTTTTTTCACTTGGGTTCAGTGCTAGTACAAGAGTCCATCTGCACTGCAGTCAGATGCCACTTAGGATTCAATGAGCCATGAGAGCACCATTAAATCAACCCTTTACCTTAGGATTGCAGACCTGAAATCTTAAATGTTTTGTGAGTATCTTGTCTAGAATTTCTTTGCAAGTTAGATGCTTACGTACAAAGGTGAATAGCTGTGTATTTATCAGCTCTTTGGAACAACTGAACTTGCAGATTTGATACATAGGATCCTTGCGTCTAACCTTGGAAGCCAGCTGCTCCAGCTGCAGGTGGAAAATTCTCCATCATGCAGCTGACATTAAAAAGGGATGGAGATGCTCATGATATCATTGACCTGATATGATCACATAGCCATACCTACTTGTTTACTTGCCTTGTGTATATTTATGGGTCTGCATTATCAAATACTTATGAATATGATCGAGCAGTCCATATGCATGGGCAAACAAGCAAAACAACAACAAATAAAAAAGCCCTGTTTAACCAGTTCAGAATTAAAGCAGTTTTTTTCATTGTTTGCACACGTAAAAATCTTCATTTTTGGCCATAACGTTTTTTAAACCCCCCAGACCATTATACATTTTTGTAAAGCAGAGACCCTGTAAGATAAAAAGATGATACTTGCAATTTTTTTATGTTGCATGTTATTTGCACATCTGTTTATCAAACGCAAATTTTCAGAAAAATATTAATAAAATGCATTTTAGTGCAAGCACACAAACTATGATACCAGTTTTTTGGGTAAACTATAAAATACACTATAGTGCCAAAAGTATTGGGACATCCCTCCAAATTATTGGATTCAGGTATTCCTATTACCTCTATGGCCACAGGTGTTAAAATCAAGCACCTAGGCATGCAGATTGCTTCTACAAACATTTGTGAAAGAATGGGTCACTCTCAGGAGCTCAGTGAATTCAAGTGTGGTACCGTGATAGGTTGCCACCTGTGCAATAAGTCCATTCCTGAAATTTCTTTGATACTAAATATTCCACGGTCAACTGTTAGTGGTATTAAAACAAAGTGGAAGCAACAGCAACTCAGCCACGAAGTGGTAGGCCACGTAAAATGACAGAGCGGGGTCAGTGCATGCTGAAGCGCACAGTGCGCAGAAGTCACCGACTGTCTGCAGAGTTAATAGCTAAATACCTCCAAACTTCATGGGGCCTTCAGATTAGCACAACAACAGTGCGTAGAGAGCTTCATGGAATGGGTTTTCATGGCTGAGCAGCTGCATCCAAGCCTGACATCACCAAGTGCAATGCAAAGCGTCGGATGCAGTGGTGTAAAGCATGCTGCCACTGTACTCTAGAGCAGTGGAGACATGTTCTCTGGAGTGACAAATCATGCTTCTCTGTCTGGCAATCCGATAGACGTGACTAGGTTTGGCGGTTGCCAGGTGAATGGTACTTTCCTGACTGCATTGTGCCAAGTGTAAAGTTTGGTGGCGGGGGGATTATGGTGTGGGATTGTTTTTCAGGGGTTGGGCTTGGCCCCTTAGTTCCAGTGAAGGGAACTATTTAGGCATCAGCATGCCAAGACAATTTGGATGACTTCATGCTCCACAACTTTGTGGGAACAGTTTGGGGATGGCCCCTTCCTGTTCCAACATGACTGCACACCAGTGCACAAAGCAAGGTCCATAAAGACATGGATGAGTGAGTTTGGGGTGGAGGAACTTGACTGACCTGCACAGAGTCCTCCTCAACCTGATAGAGCTCCTTTTGGATGAATTAGAGCAGAGACTGTGAGCCAGGCTTTCTCATCCGACATCAGTGCCTGACCTCACATGTCGCTTCTGGAAGAATGGTCAAACATTCCCATAGACACCCTCCTAAACCTTGAGGACAGACTTCCTAGAAGAGTTGAAGGTGTAATAGCTGAAAAGGGTGGCCAACTCAATATTGAACTGAATATAGAGACTAAGACTGGGATGTGCATGTAAAGGCAGGCATCCCAATACTTTTAGCAACATAGTGTATGAGATTGCGTCAGGTAAATAGATATCAAACATGTCAAGTCTTAAAATTGTGGTACCCGAAAATCTGCATGAGGGAAACTTTAAAAGGCTTTACAGCTTGTCAGTTTAGAGTTAACCAGGAGCTCTTGTGCTAGAATTATTGCACTCACTCTGACTTTCATGGCAATACCTCACAGGTTTGGTCCAACGGCAGCTTACATACACGTACATACCTTGGGCGTGCATTTGCGAGTTGTGCAGTGCAACAAGGTTACGGTTAATTTTTTAAAATACATTTTATTATATTTTTTTTTTTACTTTTTTAAATTGTATTATTTATTTTTACTTTATTGCTATCACAAGTGATAATAAACCCCTATGTGATAGCATTGGGCAGATGACAGGTACTCTTTTTGGAGACATTGGGGGGCTAATAGACCCCAATGTCTCCCCTGACCTCCAATGCATGTAAACTGAGCACATATCCACTTGGTTACGTGTCCCCTGACTGTACTGGTCGGGAAATGATGGATCTTAAACTGGATTTTCAAAATCATTGTCGCTTCTGATTTCTTTGTTTACAGGGGAGATCAAGGCATGGATGTGCCTCAGTCTCCCCCGGCTCTCCAGCCTGAATAGGCGCGATGTGGTCCGTGGCTCTTGGTAAGAGTGATAGAGCCCGGGAACCATGCAGTGGGTGGGGCGCTGGCCACATCACTTTCAAGCCTGAGCCTGCTGAACAAAGGAGCACAAGCTGATGACTGCTATTGCAGCCACCAGCTTGTGATGAGTCCTTCATTTTTGGGGGGCATACATAGTAAGTCTAAAGAGCTGAAGTGGTTAAAATTCACATTAACTATTGAATGTGCATAAATAATTACTTCTATCATTTTTAATGAGCGAAAAAAGGCTTTCTGCAAACTGAAGCCCAAAATCTTTAGCTGCCAAACCCCTTCTCTTATAGGGTAACTCCAGGCAAACAACGAAATTCACAATGGAAATACACATAATAGCTGCGCAAATTGATGGCACTATACAAGTACCTGAAATGAATAAATATGTGTGCACAGTTTTACCCCAGAGAATGTATATTATTCTGTTCAGACTTTTCCCTTCTACACTCTATTGGCCAGAGGGTGACACAACGATCACCATTGCTGGTTTGCAGTTTGCTGTATCACCTCCCCGCTAACATAGAACTAAATCTGGCCATACACTGATTGCACTGGTTCAGTAGGGACTGGCCAAATGTTTATCAGTGTGTGGCAGTCCCCACTTGACGTAATTATATTGCTTGATTGACTTCTGTTGAAGAGACATGTTGAAAAGCTTTTCTCGATCAGCGACAACGAGGGACAGAATAGAGTTCAGAATAGATTTCAAGGGAGTACAAAATAGAGTCCAAAACTCTACCCCTTCACTGCTTTCTTTTTTTAAACCAAAGACAGACATATTTGCAAAATGCCCTGAACCATCTCTTTTCTCAGGGGGTAGTTGTGCTAGTACTCACACAAAACAGGTTCTAAGGATTTTATTCAATACCTGTTAACAGTATCCAAGCCCACCAGGGGTATTCATCCTATTCTGGACAACAAATACATTCAAATTCCAAAACTTCACACAGAATCCACAAGGTCGGTAAGTGCCTCTCTGAGACAAGGGGAATACAAGGCATCCATAGACATTCAAGATGCCATTATCTGAATGTTCTCATTTATCCATTTCATCAGCACTTTCTGCGCTTTGCAGTGGCAATTACTTCCAGTTTGTAACATTGCTTTTTCGCCTATCCTCTGTTTTCAGAGTATGCACACAGATCACAGCACCTCTTTTTCTCAGAATTCAGGGCATCTAGGTCACAGGTCATCTAGATGACCTTCTCTTGAAGGACTCATCTCCCTTCTAGTTGTCAGAAAATGTTCACAGGACAATCAGAATGCTTTTGGTTGGGTGATCTATTTAAAAAAAAGAATCTGCTGTCCAACCATCTCTTTGCCTGGAATACTTGGGTCTGGTCCTGGACACAGCCCAAGCAAAGGTTTTCCTTCCAGAAAAGAAAATAATTTTTCCCAGAGCCCATGATCAAGAATTGAGATCAAAGAGACATCCCACAATAAGATTATGAGAGTTTAAGGCCTCATAGTAGTCTCCCTGAAGGCTGTACCATTTGTGCAATTTCATTCAAGACTTCTCCAACACAATATCTTGATTATCTGGAACAAGCATAGTCCTTCCCACAACCTACCTATGCTGCTGTCCAGCCAAGTAAGGATTTCCCTTATTAGGTGGATCTCAAGCCCAGCTTTAATAAATAGGTGGTCTTTCTTTCTTTATCCCTATTCCTTATCCCTCAACTGCTTATCCCTGGAATTTGATAACAAGAGATGCCAGTCTTTCAGGCTGGGGAGGAGTTTTCCAGTCCCTCACAGTACAGGGAACATGGTCACATGTGGAAGCCCAGCTTCAGATTAACATACTGGAGCTCAGAGCAGTTTGAATGGCTGTGCAATACTGGGCCACCATTCTGCGAGGACACCCATTCAGGGTGCAGTCAGACAATCCTACAACTGTGGCTAACATCAACCTCCAAGAGGGCTCCAGGAGTCATGCAGGCTTGCAGGAAGAAAACCAGATCTTCCTGGACAGAAACTCAGTGTCCGGGGACCTCTTCAGTCCACAGCCCAGGAGTGGACACCCGAAAGCAGGAATACTGCTGTTGGACCAAGGGGAATAGGCCCTTCATCCAGACATCTTCAATCTAATAGTGTGGGAAAAGGAGCACACTGGATATAGACATCCTAGCCTCCATCTTCAACTATCAACTACCTCTGTTTGAAGCCAGGACCAAGGATGCTCTTGCACTGGCCTTGGATGTCTTGATAATTCCCTGATCCCCGTTCAGTCTAATCTAGGCTTTCCCTCCAGTACGAATTCTGCCTCGTCTGCTCAAAAAGATAGAGCAAGGGGGAAAAACAGTGATTTTCATGCCGGCAAACTGGCCCAGAAGAACCTGGTACACAGAATACTCAGACTTTTAGCAGACGACCCCTGGTCTCTCTGTTGTCTCAGGGTCCTCTATTTCATCCTACTTCTCAGTCTCTGGCTTCAATGGCATGGCTGTTGAAGTTCAGGTCTTAAAAGATAGGGGGGGTCTCTGCGTCTGTTATTCCTAACTTGCTAAAAGTAAGAAAATCCACTTCCAGGAAGATCTACTATTGTACCTACCAATCCTTTTTTGCCTGGTGTGAACATAAGTACTTCAACCCCAGAGATTACTCTGTCCCCTTGTATTCTGGCCTTCCTACAATCTGGTCTTGATCAGAACATGACCTTAAACACCCTGAAAGGACAGGTTTTCAAACATCTCTGGCTTTGCTCCCCCTTTTAAACACTTTTCCTTTAAAGTGTATCTTACATTAAGCCCCCATTACAGAACTCTGTGCTTCCTTGTGATCTCAACTTGTTTCTGTCTGTCCTGCAGAAACCACCCTTAGAATCCATTAGGGATATTGTCTTAGATGACCTATCCTACAAAGTAGCTTTTTAGGTGGCTATCATTTCTGTTAGACATGTCTCTGATTTGGCAGCTCTTTCTTATAAGGAGCCCTTTCTCATATACAAAGACAAGGTTGTCTTACACCTCAATAAGGACATAGACCTAGCTTCCTTATGCCCTGTTCCAAAGAACGTAAGGGAAGTCTGTCTTCTTTGCCTTGAAGTAGTCAGAGCCATTAGAATCAATATCAAAGCTACAGCTTTGATGAGACTAACGGATTTCCTGTTTGTCCTGTCTTTAGTGCCTTGCAAGGGGCACCTTGCTTCCAGGTCTACCATCACGAGATGGATAAGAAATCTAATCACTAGGGCTTAAACTCTCAGGGATGAATCTCCTTCTGCTCTTTTAAGTGCCCATTCCACAAGATCAGTGGGAGTTTCCTGGGTATTTCAGCATCAGGCTTCCACCTGGTCCTCTGCTCATACTTTTTCAAAGTTCTATCAGATTAATGTCCAATCTTCTGAGAAAGCAGCATTCATCCTCAAGGGTCTTGATTTCATCAAATATTTATGCTGAATGAACCTTCACACACATATATAATTATAATATTCCAGAATAATATAGTGAAACAAATGTCTCCTTATATGCGTGACCTGTGGTGATTCCCTTTTCAACCAGTTGCCCAATATCACTTTCAAGGCTACCAACATTTGGAATACTATAGATCTTTAATAAGACCTTTTATTATTCCAGAAAAACTACACTTTCAATGTAGTAATTTATTCCAGAATGTCTTAATTTTGCTCATTTAACATGGTTTTTTAGATCGGGAAACGGTGAACTACATTTTAAGCACCTGTTATTGATTTTTTTTTGTATATTTTATTATATCTATCAATATAAATATATGTTCTATTTAATTTTTAAAAGTAGTTTTATCAAATCAGTGCTTATTGTATTCTTATAGACTCTGGTGTACCCCATCTCCAAAACTAACTCTTTTTGTGTGTGTGCGTGGTACAAATTAAATTGTGTACTTTTTTATCTTATGACTTCATTATCATCTCATAAAATGCACGATAATGAAAATTTACTGTTTACATTCCTTTGGGGTACATTTTTTTTACATTGATTTAAATATAACCTGGGTTTTATCACCTAATTGCCTGCTCTTCCTAAAATAATCCTGCTTCTGCCTATAAGAAAATTTTTTTTTATCTATGATACCTGTCTTCTTAAGTTCTGCAAAGGGATCAATTGCCAGTTTATTTCCAAAAGAAGTTCAATCTTTGAAAAACCTATGTTACTCCTTTCCCGATGTACTCTATAGATCCTGGGGAGAACTTAGGGTTTACTAAAAAAAGGCAAATTTTAATGTTTGAAACCAAAGTTAAATTTTTTTCCAAATATTTTCCCAGGTTTTAGGTGACACAGCTTAAAGACTTCTCATCACCCAACTCCCAAAACTGCTGTTCAAACCACAACACACACCATAAATACAGTATATTACAAAAGAACAGCGCTTAATCACAATGTGCCAACAAATTTCCCCTCATATATAGTACATGCATATATAGTACATGCAACAGTGATGAAATTATATAAATTCAAAATCAAATCTTAAAAAAGTGGAGAATGTATCCAAAAAGGTACAGCATGTGCAAAATAGGATATAAACACAATGCAAAATTTGTGAAAATTCCAAAATTGCAGTAGTCAGTTTCCCCTGCATCAGTTAATATGTCCCAATATTGTTCACCTAATGCACCTTCACCAAGCACACTCTCCAACAATTGTGACTTCCAATTTTTTGATAGGTCAAAAGAGCCTTGTTCTCACATTGCCTCCTCTAAAATCTCAGTATATCCCACAATGTATGCAGAAGCTCCAAAACACAAAAACATAGCATAATACTGCTTGGGCTTTAAGATATAACCGATTGGGACCCCCTACTACTGCAAGTGACAGAGAGATCACATCAGTTCTCACCCCTCATCCTTTCCCCATTTGAATGCAATCCCCAAAACAAAATGATGTCTGTAGAATTGTAGATATTCCCCTTTTTTCACATGTGCCTTCTGTAAGTTGCTTCTCCAACTCTACCTCTGAAAAATAATACATTAATTACAGGTACTTATATAGATCTGTCAATTTACACAGCACTTGACATATATAAATTGTACATTCACATTAGTCCCTGTCCTCAAGGAGCTTACATCTAAGGTTCCTAACTCTTATTTATACATATACTAGGGGCAATTTAGACAGGAGACAGTTAACCTACCAACATGCCTTTGGGGCGCGAGAGGAAACCCAAGCAGTTACAGGGAGAACATGCAAACTCCAGGCAGGTAGTGCCGTGGTTGGGATTCCAACCAACAACCTTGGTGCTGCTATTCAGAAGTGCTAACCACTTATTCACTATGCTATCCAAGCCACAGCACCTCCTGCCTGGAGTTTGCATGTTCTCCCTGTGCCTGCGTAGGTTTCCTCCGGGTACTCCGGTTTCCTCGTACACTCCAAAGACATGCCGATAGGTGAATTAGATCCTGTCTAAATTGTCCCTAGTATGTGTATGTATGAATGTAAGTTAGGGACCTTAGATTGTATGCCTCTTGAGGGTTAGGGACTGATGTGAATGTACAATATATATGTATGTAACGCGCTGTGTAAATTGATGGCGCTATATAAGTACCTGAAATAAATAGATATGCTAATTTTTACTTACAAGCCATGCAAATGATAGCCTGACCAATAAAGAAATATTGCACCATAAAACATGCAATAGTTTAATATGCCTTAGTAATCCACATGATTGTTTTACTTTTCCTAGCTGTTATTAGAACTGAGCCTCTTTCTACTGCAGCAGTAGATGAATGATCCACTATAGACGTGAACACCAGCTAGGGAATCTCACTATTGGAGGTCCAAAAATACATAAAACACCACTGTGTGATTTAGCCCTTCATGGTCCACCCATAGCTGCAATATCAGTTTTTTGGTGAACTGATCCTTACATTTTAAATCATATTCCTTTTCCTGCATTTTTAAATACTCTATTATTCGGTAACTGAAAGCCCTAACCACAGAGAATATAGACATCTGACAATCTAAGCATCACATAGAAAGGGACTTCTGGCAGCTGTGCTTGATGATGATTACAATGATGATGATGATGACGACAGTGATTATTATTGATATACAGGATTTATATAGTGCCAAAAGTTTCACAGTGCTTTACAAAGTAGAGGGAGACAGTACAGTTACAATACAATTCAATAGAAGAGAGATCAGAGGGTCCTGATCGTGAGAGCTTACAATCTAAAAGGAGGGTCAATGTTACTTATTAGTTTCTCATTACAATTTGTATGTACAGTCACCTTTAGGGCCCATTCACAGTATGAATTTGGACTTTTGGTAAACCTAAGCACACTGGACATTTTGATAATGCTGGCAACGTTAGCTGTGTAAAGTCACGTTAAAAACTTGAGTTTTCAGCTTTTGTTAGTGTTTTTGCATTAGCGTTTAGCTGCATTTTGCTGTGTTTTGCGGCATTTTCCTGCGTTTGCGTTTCCCACATTTTTTGGGGGTCAAAAAAAGTCCAAAAACACTGGTTTGCAGCGTTATAACGCATTTTACTGTGTTTTGCTGCGTTTTTCAACGTTAGAGCTTTTTTACAGCTAACTCCTCTAAAAATCCACTAGTCCTGGGTTTTTTTCCCTGCCAAAAAACGTCCCAGCCAAAAAATGTTGATTACTGTCTATGTGTGCATGGACACATAGGATAACATGCTGGCTGGCTGTAGAAAAAAACGTCAAAAGCCAAAAACAGCCGCTGTAAATAGTCCAGTGTGCATGACGGGCAAAGGAGATGGCAAAAAGTTTGCTCAGCTAGTCAGTAACATGTATGGCCAGTTCTGCCCATTAAACAAATATCTTAGTTCTATAAGGAGGATGAACATGTTCATGTGCATTAGTCAGACATCTACTGTGGCTGTTTTGTGTTAGTTTTTTTCACAGTACAGTCGCATTTTGGTGACTGTTATGGTGCCTATGAGTTTTGGATTCCATCTTCCCCATTCAACTATGGACGCTCTTTAATCTGTATTAGCACCAGTGTTGATGGGCTTTTGTTCATGTCAGACGAGTTTTTCATTTCTATACAATTTTAAGAGAATGCAAAACTCCCTTGAAGCAGGTCAAATGCGGATCAGAACTTCAATTACAGGTTAAATGCACATGTCGATAAATTCTGAATGCTCTCAGCAGCATCTTAAACTGATGCCATCAACACAAGCTTTAAAAGAAAAGTATGGATTCTCTTTTTTTTTTCCCCAAATTATACTTACCCAGGTGCCCAGGTGGATGCAGCATTGGTCCAATACTGCGTCTGTCCCCCGCTGGCTCTAAGTGTGAGAGCTCAGCGATCACATGACCGCTGATCACTGAGTTCTCACCACCGCTGTGAGCAGAGAGCGGTGACTGTAAGTCACCGCTCTCTGTTCAGCTCCCCCAGCTCACTGCTGGACCGCTGGGCTGTGGACGGGGAGGGAGCAGGTGGCTCAGACTTTCAGTGCCTCGCTACTCCAGACTCTTGGATGGATTCTGACTTTAAAGTTGGGATCTTTCCCCAGCCTGGACCGGATGAGTGATGTCAGCTGAAAATGGGTCACAGGAGTGCAGAAGGAACTGCACTCCTGTGATCCACAGGAGTACAGCCAACAGAACTTTGACGTTACTTCTCCTTTAAGCTTTTCAACACAGGCCTTTGGGTCTGGTTCACACAAGCTCATATGGTAAAACACCCCGTGCAGGCAGCTGTCAGTGTGAGCGGTGCAATGTGCGTTTCAACGGGTTTCAATGCATCTTACTGCTTACTTTTTTTTATACTGTATTTGAAGTGGTACTTCATGTCTTCACACAGCAATGAAGTGACATGCAGATCCATCAAATGTGCAGCAGAAAAATGCTGACATGCGTTATATTTCCGCACCACACTTTATATCACACCATTACCAACCACCAGCATCAACATGCAAATGTTTTCTATGTGTCCTAGTGGTGACTTTATCCAGTGCAGAAAAATGCAGGTCACCACAGAGAGTGTGAACAAGCCTCAGGCCGTCAGGATTTTCAGTCATCAACATATTCCTTTGAATTATTTTGCCTTTTTGTTTTCATTTTTTTTTTACCAAGATTCTAAATATAACGATTTTTTTTTCCCAGAAACAGAAAATTCAGTTGGAGTGGAAGAACCAACCAGTTTGGTTGATAAAGAACCAGATCCATCTTCTTGCCAGAATCCTTTGCCACAAGCCCCTCTTATTTCAGATTACAAATGTCTGCACAAAAACGTAAACTGGGACATATTGGAATCTGGGGTCTTCTGTTTGACTGGTGAGATACCTCTATTTTCCTTTAAATAATCGGTCCACCTACAAAAAAAATATGATTTTAATTGTTGGGTAGATGCCAAGGGGTTGAACCTTGACAATGTAATCTCTGCAAGTGAACATTCATCAGCAATCCCCCATAATTGAAACATCAGCTTTGGCTGGCCAAAATCTTAGCACATGTAACTTGTCACATACAGTATGACAGTGTGAAATAAATCTTCCAGTGAAATAAATAAAGGAAAAATTTAGAATGAGTGACTGTGGCCATTTTAAATGGATGGGATGTCTATTTTAATAGAGATGAGATGTCTTAGGTGTACATGAACAGTAAATACACTTAGAGCCGATGTTGTTCTTCTGAAAATGCATTCCACGGTGGCTCACTTTTCAGATGCATTTGAAAGGTGATGAGGAGGCGACATGTTGACTCCTTCGGCCTGTTTTAACCCTGGAAATGTCCACATGCTGTAGGCTTGCTGCCACTCGGTGAATGCAACATGAGGTTTAATTTTTGCTTTGCCCTGAGCAGCTGCATACTTTTTTTAAAGTGTTACTAAACCCACAACAGTAAAACCAGTCTGTATATGTAACAAAGCATGCTTGATATACTGTGGAACCTAAGGGGTTATCCTCTGCATTCTGTAAAACCGCTATTTGATCCTGACTTCTCTGATCCTCCCCCTCTTATCTCCTGATAAGACATGTGTGGAGACACTGTACAAATGCTCACTTTGGTGTGTATTGCAAGAGAGGTTTTTGTTTTGTTTTTTTTCTTGGGAGAGTGCATATGATCAGCACAGGGCCAATCAGCACTGTCCATACAGAGGTCATGGGTTCTGCATGCTCTTAGAGCAGAAAGCAAACTCCTCCTACAAGCTTTAACCAGTGCTCGGCTGGACACTGATAGAAATCACAAACCTGCAGTCCCCACTCCATTTGCTGATAGTATAGAGTCCTAGGAGATACTCTTCACATGCCCAGTTTGGCGTGTATGTCTAGAGTGTTTTTTTTTTGTTTTGGAAGGGTGCATGTGATCAGCAAAGGGCCAATCAGCCCTATCCAGACAGAGGGTCAAGGGTCATGCAGCCTCATAGGACAGTCAGAGGTGAATGAAAACTCCTCCTACAAGCTTTAACCAGCGCTTGGCTGGACACTGATAGAAGTCACAAGACTATATACTGCTGATGAGAAAAGGTAGCAGTTTACATTTACTAAAATAATTGCATTTCCATGTTGTGTGTACTGTGGGAGACCAGATAGAATGAATGCTTGGTCTTGGGTTTAGTAACACTTTAAGTGGGCGGTCAGGGGGCAGTAAACGATGGTGCAACCGACTGTCTCCCTCGCTGCATATGTGAACAAACCCTTCCTACATTTTCACAGCGCGTTTTCAAATTGCAGGCAGAATCGCAGCGATTCCGCCCGCGATTTGAAATGCCCTAGTGTGAATGGAGTTTTACACTCTTTGTGTACTTTAATTTCATGCTGTTTTGTAGAGCACTGCTTATGTTTTTAACCAAAATATGGTGCAGGTACTTTCTACACATAAAAAAGTGTCAGTAACAGTTAACTTTCCATAACCTGGCTCACATAATCTATTTTGTTTATAAAGTGGAGTCATTTTATGCCTGAATGCCATCAGTTTCATGTCACAGCATGGGATCTTTTAATTGTATTTGCACATATTGATGTATGTCCAACTCTCCTATTAACCAAATGTCTTGCAGCTGTCTTCTAGTTGATAGAATACTTTCAATATGGTCCCTCTCTCTTTAGTGGTCATGCTGTAGATTACGGCATTTTATTATTACACCATCAGGCTGATTCAATAAAGTAGTTCAAAGAGCAATAGGAGAGCATATTAACCTTTTGTTAGCAGAAATATCCTGTTAAATGACGGGAATACAGTAAATGTCTAAATCAGACTGGCATAGTGTCACTGCTGTTTGCTCTGCTTTATTAAATAATCTTGTCCCTGAAAGGGACTGTGGTCCTTTTCTGTATTCTACATGCCCTCCACAAGTATTTCTGTGTTGATGATTTCTCTTTGAATGTGAATTTGTGCATAGCTATGAGTGTATTTATAAAAAGTAGTCCAACCAGAGAAAAGCCTAAAAATTTCTATGCAGATGGTGCTAGGATTAGAGATTAGCTGAGAATCTCTCAAACTGCAAGGCTGAAATATGTTTTATTGAACCACTTTGCTACCTTCCAAGTTATATAAATACTGCAGACGCCAACAACTCACACCCATGTTCAGCTGTTTTTTCCATTTTCTGTCTATCTGCTGTGCAGTCATTAGTTTAAGCCGAAATTCAGCAGTAGTCCTGTCGACATCACCTGGCTCAAAAAAGTTGATTTAAAAATAACTGGGTGGAGGTCTATTGGATGAACAGTGACTGCACCCTATCAGGTGGTATTCACAGTAGCTGGCAGGGGAGATTCCTTTATGCACAGTGTTTAGCGGGCTGAAGGAGAGAAAATTATACAGAGGGTATAGAAAAAAATCTTCCCCTTTAAAATAATCACATTTTGTTGCTTTACAGTATGAAATGAAGACAGACACAGGTTTTGTTTTATTCAGCTGTACTGTATTTACTCAGTGCAATTTATACAGTAAATGAAAGCTATAACAACATCGACATGTCAGAAAAAATAAAAAACATTCAAAAACAGACTTACTGAGTTGGGATCACCCCCTTGTGTCAGTATTTTGTTGAACCACCTTTTGCTTTAATTCCAGCCTGCAGTCTGTTGGGATATGTCTCTACTAACTTTGCACATCTAGACTTTGCAATATTTGCCCACTCTTCTTTGCAGAACTGCTCAAGTTCAGTTAAATTTGATGGTGACCATTTGTGGACTGCAGTCTTCAAGTCATTCTACAGATTTTCAATGGGGTTTAAGTCTGGGCTCTGACTAGGCCATGCAAGGACATTCACCTTTTTCTCCTTCAAGCACTGTGTGCTCATTTTTGCTCTGTGCTTTGATTGTTTTAACCACCTCCCATCCGCCACATAAGGAAATGACGGGCGGGCGGGCGTTGGCTCTCGTCGTTCTGGGAGGACGTCATATGACATCCTCCCTCTCAAACTGCACATATGCGCCCCTGGGGGCGTCCTGGGACACAGCGATCACCGATTGCAGTAAAGAGCCAATTGCACAGGCTCTACCATGTGATCAGTTGTGTCCAATCACAGCTGATCGCATGTAAATAGGAAATGCCAGTTATGTCCTCTCCTTACGCTGACAGTGTGTGAGGAGAGAGGAGAGTCGGTAAGCGGCATTCCTTTAGAGGGGACATCTACACTGATTATCAGGGCACTGATCATCAGTGCCCTGATTATCAATGTAGCCCCATCAGTGCCACCTGTCAGTGTCCATAATTGCCACCTGTCAGTGCCCATCAATGCCACATATCAGTGCACATCAATGCCACATAGTGCCCATCAGGGCTGTCTTTCAGTGCCAACTATCAGTGCCCATCAGAGCTGTCTTTCAGTGCCAACTATCAGTGCCCATCAGTGCCACCTATCAGTGCCAGTCAGTGACGCCTATCAGTGCCCATCAGTGCCACATAACAGTTCCAATCAGTGTCACCTATCAGTGCCAGTCAGTACCACCTATCAGTGCCCATCAGTGCCGCCTATCAGTGCTATATATGAGTGCTGTCTTTCAGTGCCCATTAGTAATGCCTATCAATGCCCACCAGTGATGCCTGTCAATGCCCATCAGTGCCACCTATCAGTACCTCCTCATCAGTGCTGCCTATTCATGCCCATCAGTGTAGCCTATCAGTGCCCATCACTGCAGCCTCATTAGCGCACATCAGTAAAGGAGAAAAATTATTTATTTACAAAATTTTATAACAGAAACTTAGAAAAAAATTGTTTTTTTTCAAAATGTTCAGTCTTTTTTGTTTGTTTAGCAAAAAATAAAAACCCAGAGGTCATTAAATACCACCAAAAGAAAGCTCTATCTGTCTCAAAAAAATGATAAAAAATGTTGTTTGGGTACGAAAGCACTGAAAGCTGAAAATTGGCCTGGGCAGGAAGGGGGTAAAATTGCCCGGTAGGCAAGTGGTTAAAGGGTGGGTGATTTTTTCTATATCCACTGTGCTGCATATACATGGCTAGCTTCTTTAGAACACTAGTCTTTTTTCTCCACATTTCATAATTTTTTGAGTTTACTCTCTTATTCAGTTTCATTCCACTTTTTGAAATTTATTTGATTGCTATGATTGATCAGCACTGACAGAGCATTCTGTATGTGAACAGATAAAAACGTTAACGTGATTGTAACTGCCAGTCATGCACAGTGCAACTCATAGCCGCCAAATAGATTTAGGGCTTGCAAAAGCCCTTGCCACCTCTATAAAAAGTGATCCAGGGTGGATCACTTTACAAAGGGCATTTGACAGGCATTTGGGAGGCTGTTTTAACCTTGTAAGCCTGAACCACTACATACACTCTGTGGCCCCATTCACTTGACAAGGGGTATAATTTTTTGCCCGATGGCTGTGAAGGCAGTAAAACCACAATTTGACCACCTTTTTTTGCCACCCCAATCGAACGTGTAAACTAGGTACTTGGAATGTAAACTAGCACTTGAAAGAAAGTATGAATTTATTTTACATGAGATTAGATTCAAAACACAAGAAGGACAAAATATGTATAAATAAAATCCTAGAACAAATTAACAGGATAAAACTTAATGACAGTTTAATTTAAAGCACGCCTTTGTGAGAACAATAAAATGTGAATTCCTGGGAATGATTTGGATTTTTACATGAATAGTTCCTAAAATAGATCCAGCAACACTTTCTGTAGCTGTTGATGTGACTTGCACAGCTTTAACATTCCTAATTCTATCCTATTCCTGCTTAAAACAACTCTCAGTTCAGTTGACATATCAATTTTTGTTAAAAAACCTTTATGAATCATGGAATTTCAGTGACTGATTTAGCTCTGACTATTCCAGAATATGGATTTTCAGTGCAGAGGGCTGTTAATCGGGTCCTGTGTTTTGGATCATAGCCATGGTGTGTGCTGCAACTTTTTTGAACTTTTAATAATAGACATCCTAGCATGTTGTAGATTTTCCTAATATGGCTTCAAATGTGTTGCAAACCACCCAGACCCTAAGGCAGAAAAGCTTTCTTTTAGCATTTTTCTCCATCCACTATGCTTCACAGTTGGTATGAGGTTTGATGTTGGTATGCATTGTTTTGTTTTCTCCAAACACAATGCTGTGAACATTTACCAAAAATGTATGGCATAACTTTTCAGTATTTTTCACATTTCTCAACAACCATAATGAAATTATTTAAAGCAGTATTAAACCCCAAACCAAATATGTAATGTATTGCAGCTTAGCAATCATTAGATGTGGTGACTGTATTAGTTTTCTTTTTCCGGTATTCACTTGGTGATCTGGCCAGTAACACACCTCCTGTATTATGGTGCCTACACTCTGGATGCAGTAGCACAGGGGGCACATTTGGACAGCAGCATTGTCAGTCAGGGGGAGGGGAGTGTTTAGATGTACTAGCAGATTTAGACACGCTAACAAATTGAAGCCAAACTCCAGCTCATACTTTATAAGCAGTTACAGCAATATTATTTTACTTTTGGGATAAAGATTTTACACAAATAAATAAAAGCTGATCATTGTAATCACCCCTATCAGTGGTAAATGGTTTGTCTCATCCCTCTAAACTGCTACATTTGCAAGAGAGCTTTTTCTGTTGAAAAACAGACATACTGACCAGATTACCAGGGAAAAATAAAAATAAAAAAAATAAACTTTGAAAAAAGAAAACTAATGCAGCCATTATATCTAAGAATTGGTAAGCTGCAATATAATAAATGTTTGCTTTTGGGTTTAATATGGCTTTAATGTGTAAAATGTATTTCTCACTGTGGACTGATGGAAGCCCAAATCTTAAGAAACCTTCTCTTTCCAGTCTTATTGACTTCAACAGCTCTTTTTCTGAGGGCCTCTTAGATCACTTTTGTATGGGTCACATTGTAGTTCGGCAGAAGTGCACAATAGGGTAAGCTTGCATTAAAGTGTTACTAAACCCACAACAGTAAAATCAGTCTGTATATGCAGTAAAGCATGCTTGATATACGCACTGTGGAACCTAAGGGGTTAATCCTCTGCATTGTGTAAAAATGCTGTTTGATCCTGACTTCTCTGATCCTCCCCTTCTTCTAGTGTCCCACTCTTATCTCCTGATAAGACATATAGTGTGGAGACACTCTGCACATGCTCAGTTTGGTGTGTATTGCTAAAGGTGGGTTTTTGTTTATTGGGAGAGTGCATGTGATCACAACAGGGCGAATCAGCACTGTCCAGACAGAGGTCAGGGGTCCTGCATCCTCTTAGAGCAAAATGAATTCTCCTCCTACAAGTTTTAACCAAGTGCTCAGCTGCACAAGACTGCTCTAACTGCTGATGAGAGAAGGTATTTAGCAGTTTATATTTATAGTTTAACATAATTGCATTTCTATGTTGTGTGTACTGTGGGAGATCAGATATAGTGAATGCAGGGTCCTGGGTTTAGTAACAGTTTAAGCTATGTGTAAGACATCTGTGTAGCTGTGATGAAAGAACTTTAGACACATTGCTGTAAATTTGTAATTATATTTTAAACATGGTTTTAATTTGGTCTTTTTAAATGGGTTGTTTCTGTAACATCCCATCAATCCCATATGATGTGCTTTCTCTGCATGTTGCTATTAAGGATGTGGTGCTGTTTCTTGTAATGCCGTCCCTTATCCAGGAATAAAATGTATTATATTCTGCAGAAGTGCAGTTTCACTTTTTGCCACACTGTGTACAACTGAAGTTTAGTAAAAAAAAAAAAATTGGGAATGCAGCACCAGTGTAGTGATATACCTCTAATGATGTGTATCTTACATTCTACTATAATAATCCACCTCTCAGTGATTCTGGACCCCCCTCATAGCTGTGAACTTCCACCTGCTGAGGTTAATAGCAGCAGCTTTGACTGTGAAGGACTACTCACCCTCCTCTTACTGCCCCTTTAGCCTTTCACAAGACTCCTAGTATTCCTCTCCTAGAATGCAATGCATTCTGTGACTTGGAAGGGGAGATCCTGTCATTCATCTGTCCCTCTTCCATTCACAAAATGCATTGCATTCTTGGAGAAGAATACTTCTATTTGTGAAAGACCAAGGGGACATGAAGGGGAGGATGAGTGATGCAAGTCTTTCATAGTGCAGCTGTTGCTATTAACCCCCGCCGTTCTTGTGGTTCACAGCTGTGGGGGGTCTCCAACAACACTGAGAGGTGGACATTAATCAGAAGTCTGCAGAATGTGGGATTCACGCCATTAAAGGTACATTATTACACTGGTGCTTAAAGTCAATTTTCTTTTCTTTTTTTTTTACCAAACCTCAGCTTTAACAGCTGTGGCAAAAAGTTGAAGTGCAGTTCTGCACACAATTTGTGCATGATAAACTACAAACAAATTAAATAACATTGGTCATACAGTGACAATGCAGCAATCTGTAAATATGTCCCAGTCCATAAGCATACGAGTAGTGCTGCAGTACCATTTCCAGGAACAATCGTCAGTATTCTTGCCATTGCCTTTCAGTTGGCATTATATATAAAATATAGAGTAACTTTCCAATCAAAAATGTACACCAAATGAATATACAGTTCCAAGAAAAAGTATGTGAACCCCTTGGGATTACGTGGAGTTTTGCTTGAATTGGGCATAAAATGCGCTCTGAACGTCATCTAAGTCACAACAATAGAAGAACACAGTCTGCTGAACATAATACTACACAAACATTAGATGTTGCCATGGTTTAATTGCACATAACATGTAAACATTCACAGTGCAGGGAGGAAAAAGTATGTGAACCTTTGGACTTAATAACTGGTTGACCCTCCTTTGGCAGCAATAACCTCAACCAAATGTTTCCTGTAGTTGCAGATCAGACCTGCACAACGATCTGGAGTAATTTTGGACCACTCCTCTTCACAAAACTGTTTCAGTGTAGCAATATTCTTGGGATGTCTGGTGTGAATCGCTCTCTAAAGGTCATGCCACAGCATTTCAATCGGGTTGAGGTCAGGACTCTGACTGGGCCACTCCAGAAGACGTATTCTGTGCTGTTGCAGCCATTGTTTTGTTGAATTACTTGTATGCTTTGGGTCATTGTCCTGTTCCATCACCCATCCTCTGCGGAGCTTCAGTTGGCGGACAGATGGTCGTACGTTTTCCTGCAATATGTCTTGATAAACTCTGGAATTCATTTTCCCATCAATGACAACAATCCGTCCAGGCCCTGAGGCAGCAAAGCAGCCCCAAACCATGATGCTCCCTCCGCCATGTTTTACAGTGGGGATGAGGTTTTGATGTTGGTGTGCTGTACCTTTTTTTCTCCACACATAGTGTTTGTGTGTTCTTCCCAAACAACTCAATCTTGGTTTCATCTGTCCACAGTATATTTTGCTAGTAGTGCTGTGGAACATCCAGGTGCTCTTTTGCAAACTTCAAACGTGCTGCAATAT